ATCTATCTATCTATCTATCTATCTATCTATCTATCTATCTATCTATCGGGAATTTCTGGTACAGTCCGACCTGCTCTGTTTGGAAAGCGCTGTGAGCTAACTGTTGTTGTGATTTGGTGCTATATAAATAAAAATGTATATATAAATATATATATTCATTTCAATTAGACTTTATGTATATAGCGCCAAATTACAACAACAGGGCCCTCAGGGACCCGCAAAGGAAGAGATAAAAGTAATTCGTGAGCACTTCATTGAAGTGGAGAAAATCTCTTTAAACACTTTTCACAGATGAGTTGTTATGTCAATTATTGTAACCGCTTATTCCCTAATGGGGTGGAGGGGGGACTGGAGCCTATCCCAGTAGTCAATGGGGAGAGATGGGTCACCCTGGACTGTCCCCAGTCCATCACAGGGCCAGAGACACACAAGGACCAACAACCAAACACACTCACTCATAAGGGCAGTTTGGAGTGTCCAACCAACCTTACATGCAGGTTTTTGGACGGAAGGGGAGGAAGCCGGAGAACCCGGAGAGAACCCACAGACACAGGGAGAACATGCAGACTCCACACAGAAAGGTCCTGATTCCCCTCGAAACCAGAACACTCTGGCTGCGAGGTGATGGTGCTGACCACCACACCACCGTGATCCCCAGGAAGATCTGGACCACTCGGGTCTTCTTCTGGTTTCTGCTCACTCTCCCTCCTTTTCGCTTCATTTACACTCATTATCTGTTTTGAAATCCACAAAATTTCCAGGGTGTTTAATTTAGGCTCAAATATTAGTTCCTCCTTGTGGTTTTGATACTGTTTATTCATTTTGTTTTCTTTTAACTATTTAGTTTTTCTCTTTGACTCGTGCAAGCTGTGGATTTTCCCCTGGAAATAAAGGAACCTAAAGGAACTATTTGAGGCTCACGAAAGCCAAATGGTGCTGATGTCATATGTCCTTTTTGAGGTATTTACTCCCTGTCAGAGTCAAATCGACTTCAGAACTGAGTCATCGGTCATCAGCGGAGCCTGCAAACCTTCACACAAATTAGCTTTGTATGAAGCCTCTCCGTGACAGCACCGAGCTGCTCAGCCTGTAATCTGCAACCTTTTCAGGTGACTCTATGATTAGATCTCCCTCAGGGGGGGAGTTTTTTATGCAAGCCTTTAACCTGCTAACGGGATTAGAAGCCCTGCCTCCCTGGCGGTCCCTGGGTAATAGACGGTGCTCGGTGCTCCCTGCAGACAGTGTCCCGGTGCCTCCGCAGCCACAGAAGTTCCCCCCGTTATTCTCCATCCGACCCAGTAGGAACCCAAAGGTCCGCCGGCCATGGGGCAAGAGGAGAGCCACAACGAGGAGATCGAGCTGGCCCAGATTCAGGAGCTGTGCATCATCTTCTTGAAGGAGTGTCCCAGCGGCGCGCTGCACCTGCACGAGTTCAAGAGGATCTTCGGGGTGCAGAGCACCTCGCCGGAGGAGTCCCTCTTCCTGGAGACCATCTTCCGCTCCTTCGACTCCAATCAGGTAAAAGACGCGCACTCGACTGTTGTTTTTTCCTTGTTTTTTGGACACCACAGTGTGCGTAACCCTGCTTTTCCTTGCAGGACAACACCCTTGATTTTCTGGAGTACGTGGCCGCGCTCAACCTGATCCTGCGGGGAAACATGGAGGACCGGCTCAAGTGGTCCTTCAAGATGTACGACAAGGATGGGAACGGAAAGCTGGACCGACGGGAGGTGAAGCGGATCATAAGGGTGAGCCCCAGCACCCCACTCCTCCGGGTATCCTGCTTTTCAGACGGATTGTGTCCGGAATAGGGGTCAAGACTCAAAAAGCTTCATTCCCCCTGATGGAAACTGCTGCGCAACATCTGCGTTAGAAAGCTGAAAATAAGAATGATGTAGACAGCAATAGTTTAAAGTAGGGGTGGGCACCTCCAGGCCTCTTTGGGCTGCTTTTCTGCAGATTTTAGAGGTTTCCCTGTTTCTACACACCTGAATCAGATTAACACAGCATCAACAGTCCTGTTCAGAGCTGAACCACCTTTAGAAGAGATCAGTTTGATCTGAATCAGGTGCGTAGAAGCAGGAAAACCTCTAAAGGACAGTGGCCCCCAAGGCCTGGAGCTGCCCAGCCCTGGTTTGAAGTGCCCAGCGATAAGTTAAAGCAGCATAAAACACAATAGATAAGTAATGAATTGAGATGAAAAACTGTGAGAAAGTGATGAGTAACCAATGCTTTTCAGCCACTGTGCCAAACTGTAAAAGCATCACCTGCTTTCATAACCTAAATCCTCTCAAAGCGGATTGCACCACTCCAGTAATGAGGGATTTGGGCCAGAGGCCGTGACCCTGTAATGTAGCCTCATTGTATAAGGCGAGCTAATCGTGGCGATCCGAGGTATCTTTAACCCCGAGATCACGTTATCCGCCCTAAGATGCGTCCTCGTTCGGCCTCTGTTTGCACCTTCGCCATGTTTGATGCTGTAACGGGAGCCCATCAGCTGGGTCAAAGCCCCCAGGGGGCCCAGGTACGCAGACCAGCTGAGGTCCAAACCATTCTGGGCCATTTGGGTGCACTGGCGATTTAAAAAGACCTCTTAACTTTCACTTCTCTGAATAATTCCTCCTTCAAAGTGCAGTAAAACCTATAAATAACTCAGTAAATATTCAGATTAGGGAATGACAGCAGTTCTGTTCGCTGTGAAGAATAATTTTCACACTTTAGGAGCCTTAAAGTGCTTTTACTACCATTATTGGCACGTTTTAGTGCTTTATTTTACAGAGATTCAGGAGCTAAATCATAAACTGGAATTCTCCACATCAGGCTCTGACAAAATGGAGAAAATGAGTGTGAAATGTGAAAAAAACCTGATGGTTAAGAGTTTTTCGGAGCCTCTGTTCAGATGACAGACGGATGCATCATTCTGGAGATGAAACGGGGACCAAAATGCTGCTGTTTCAACATGTTCCGCAGTACAGAAAAACAGCAAAGTGCATCTGCATGGGAACAGAAGCCTCATAATTTTCCTGACCGGGTCCTAACATCCTGCTTCCTCACACAGATTCTTTATAAAATCAAGCTGCAGACCAGTGACATAGAAATGACTCCGTCTCAGATCTGCGACCGGCTCTTCGAGGTGGTGGACCAGAATCACGACGGTGAGTAAAAACAGAGGTTCACTTTCCATTTGTTCCATTTAAATTCAGATTTTTGGACGTTTTGCAATAAACAGCAAAAAAACTAAAAAAAACTAAACTAAACAGGCTGATTCAAAAAAGAAGTGTAACAGTAACCTTAACAATAACTTTAACAATAGCATCAACCTTCATTCTATCACAAAGTGAGTGTAATACAAAGGCGTCGTGGAGATAAAGGATCCAAAATCAATGTAAAAACTTCAAATTAAGCATAAAACTCACCATCAGAGGCAGCAGAGCCGTCTGATGAACGTCCTGCAGGAGGAGGAGTGAGAAAAAAAACACTATAGCGCGAACAAACAAACGTCTGGGACACGGAATAAAGCAACAACCACACAGAACTAACCAAAGTAATGCACCTGTACCTGCTGGGGGAAGGAAAAGAGGCACAACTTTCCACTTACCAAAAGCCGAGGCGAGTCAGCCAATGAGCAAATTATCTACATAATTACGTTACCTACATCTGAATTACAGCAGAACCTCTACATAGGAATTTAACTGGTTCCAGGACTTACTTAGTATGTTAGAATATTGGTATGTTGGTTCAAATATTCTCATCAGAATACACTGTAATTCCTATAATTCGTTCCAAAAACCTACGATAAGTCCTTAATAAATACTGCAGATAGTTACACATAGCAATAAAACACATGACTTATAGAAGAGAGATGTAAAAATAAATAAATGATAAAGAAATAATCATTAAAAAGGGGTTTTTATTGGTACTTTACCACTGAATGGTGGTAGAAGTGGAGAGAGAGATACAGGACGTACCCTAACTTACTCTTAACTTTCACTACGGGAACTTTAAACTAACTTAGCTTTATACTTAGCTATATTCTATATATTTTTATATATCTATATTATCATATGTTATAATATAATATATATATATGTATTATATTATTTATATATATATATATATATATTTCTATGACTTTGACGTCATAGAAAAAAATCGATTTTTTAAATCTAAAAATGATATAATATAATATGAATATATACTTATATATTTCCAACATATTCATATAAAAATATAAAATTACCTTTGGTGTCGAGTGGAAGATTTGATCAATTTT